CTATGTTGCTCACACTATCAACAGTATTACTTCTGGCTGACAGGGGGATATAGCTGTCATGTTGCTCACACTATCAACAGCATTACTTCCGTCTGACAGGGGGATATAGCTGTCATGTTGCTTACACTATCAACACCATTACTTCCGGCTGACAGGGGGATATAGCTGCCATGTTGCTCACACTTTCAACAGCATTACTTCAGGCTGACAGGGGAATATAGCTGCCATGTTGCTCACACTTTCAACAGCATTACTTCCGGCTGGCAGGGGGATATAGCTGCTATGTTGCTCACACTATCAACAGTATTACTTCTGGCTGACAGGGGGATATAGCTGTCATGTTGCTCACACTATCAACAGCATGACTTCTGGTTGACAGGGGGATATAGCTGCCATGCTGCTCACACTATCATCAGCATTACTTCAGGCTGACAGGGGGATATAGCTGTCATGTTGCTCACACTATCAACAGCATTACTTCAGGCTGACAGGGGGATATAGCTGTCATGTTGCTCACACTATCAACAGCATTACTTCCGGCTGACAGGGGAATATAGCTGTCATGTTGCTCACACTTTCAACAGCGTTACTTTAGGCTGACAGAGGGATATAGCTGTCATGTTGCTCACACTATCAACAGCATTACTTCAGGCTGATAGGGGATATAGCTGTCATGTTGCTCACACTTTCAACAGCATTACTTCCGGCTGACAGGGGGATATAGCTGTCATGTTGCTCACACCATCAACAGCATTACTTCCGCCTGACAGGGGGATATAGCTGCCACGTTGCTCACATCATCAACAGCATTACTTCTGGCTGACGGGGATATAGCTGCTATATTGTTCACACCATGACTGCCCCGACACTCAGAAATAACCAGCGGAATGTAGATTGCATTAGCATTTCTACTCATTTCTAGGCAGTGCGTAATTGTCTCGAGAACACATGAATCGAGATACAGATCGGCAATCCCGAGTTTGTGGATTCGAATCCCGGTTCGCCCCGATTATGTTTCAAGGTTTGTCAGCACCATACCCGTGCTAGTGACTTTCACCGAAGTGATAAACGTCTGAGACCTGTGGGCTTTCCTCCCACATTAAGCTGACACGCCGTGATATAATTGGTATACTGTTAAAAGCGGCAATAAACCCAACTCACTCACTCACTCACTGACGGTTGATAGAGTGAGCAACATGACAGGCTGTAGTTAAACTACTGATGGTTGATAGAGTGAGCAACATGGCAGTTGTAGTTAAACTACTGATGGTTGATAGAGTGAGCAACATGGTAGCTGTAGTAAAACTACTGATGGTTGATAGAGTGAGCAACATGGCAGTTGTAGTTAAACTACTGATGGTTGATAGGGTGATCAACATGGCAGTCTCTGGTAAAACTACCCATGGTTGCATGACATCATTGTGTGAGCATGCATAGCTGTATCAGTGAAATAATCTTGAAACCTATTTAACCTTACCTCACCTCTAATGCTTCCAATACATAATTAAACGTTATACATTTAATAGACCATCTGCAATAAACGTTGATACAACAGGGTCCTATATAGGGCACTATGAGCAGTCTGAAGACTTGGCTGTTTAGATTATTAACGTTAAGCATGTGATGGCCCCGTTCTTGCTCCCAGTGTACAGCTGTTTATGTCACAGTTGACAAAGGGATAGCACTTCAAGTGCAATAGCCCAGATATTACCCGAGAGTGTATGACCTAGTGTGACGCTGTCAGGCACACAGTTAACATTTAAACATTTACTCTATGGCTTAAGTTGTTGGTTGTTGGTTTGTTGTTTAACGCCGCACTCAGCAATAGTCCAGCTATATGACGGCGGTCTGTAAATAATCGAGTCTGGACCAGACAATCCAGTTATTAATGTCATGAGCATCGATCCACATAATTGGGATCGATGACATGCATCAACCAAGTCAGCGAGCCTGACCACCCGATCCCGTAAGTCGCCTTTTACGACAAGCATAGTCACCTTTTACGGCAAGCATGGGTTACTGAAGACCTATTCTACCCCGGAATCTTCACGGGTCCTATGGATTGAGATAAACATGTGTCTGGTCGTCGTCCCGATATCACACGCAACGTTCTCTCCGCCTGTGTGTCTGTGTGTTTGTCTGTCTGTCCGTCCGTCCCTCCCTCCCCCGTCACGTGAAGATCCGGGGTTGAACAGGTCTTCAGCAATCCATGCTTGCCGTAACAGGTGACTATGCTTGTAAAAGGCGACTAATGGGATCGGGTGGTCAGATTCGCTGAATTGGTTGGTGTATGTCATCGTATCCCAATTGCCTTGATCGATGCTCATGATGTCAATCACTGATTGTCTGGTCCAGACTCGATTATTTACAGACCGCCTTTATATAGCAGTGCAACATTAAACAAAACAAAAATTTAAAAAATAACAACAACAAATAAACAAAGTCTATCTATCTATCTATCTATCTATCCATCTATCTATCGATCTATCCATCCATCCATCCATCCATCCATCTATCTATCTATCTATCTGGGGAGTGGTGTAGTCTAGTGGTTTATGCGTTGGCTCGTCACGTCGAAGACCCGGGTTCGGTCCCCCACATTTCCCATATTCCCGAATAAACCATGCGTCACTTGGTTCACGGATCCGACAACATAAAAATTCACAAATTTACAATTAAAAGTTTGTTTTCTACAAACTATGTTGTTAATTTATATGAAGAAAAACACTCCAAAGCGAACAATACAGGAAGGGAAGTAACTCTAAATTTGTAATTTACCAACTTGACAATCTAAACAAAATGTTTCTAAAAATGTTAATCTTGACTACCATGTGGGAACAAAAAAGTTTCAAACCAACTGTTTGAAAAAATCACCTTTCACAATTAATACACTGCGTATTCCCACTGTTTATATTGACACTATACGTAACCTTTACATATAAACAAATTGTTGCAAAAGTAGTCTGTTTAGTTTTTTCCAGGGGTCACCTCTGTAAGCTAAGATGTCAACTGAACACAAATTAAAAAACAAACAAATTGCGATATTTTACTTCTTATTTGTGATAATTCTGACAGAGCTCCAGATAACTTTTTGAGCAATTGAGATTTTACTCTAGGGTTTCGATTTTAATTGGGTTCTTACATTTTTCATTGGATAACTAATTTTTGTTACTCATCTATTCATCATTCTATTGGGTTTTTCCTAAATTTAGTGAAAATTTTAAGATTAAAAAATAATTGAAATAATGTGTTAGATGTTTATAACTGTTCTTAGTACATAGGTTTGGCTCGGAACGTAAATTAGCTCGTAATTGTGTTTCGGAAATTAGCTTCTTTGTACACATGCTGAAAAAGCTTCATTGGGTATTTTACGCGAGCTGTTTTTATACATTTGAGTTTTTCATTTAATGCATGCGTTTCTGTACGCAAGTTAATTGAAAGTAACTGGGTTTTGAATATTTGGGGGGGTATTTTACGCAAATAGGCAGCTTATCTGTAGCTCTGTTTTATCAATGAGGCGAATAGTGAAAATGTAATTTCATTCCATAGTTTTTCAGATATCCGTCAAAATATTGTTTGTTGTTGTCCTAAGTTCGTGTTCTCGTTAACAATAACATGCCTACACTAGGACTAGGACAGACCACAAATCATTGGGCTACGTCATACTCACATAAGTCTGGCCTACCTTTGTCTTGTTTAAGTAAGGGAGTTAACCTCCAAGGCGCATTCTGAACATTCATGTAGCAGAATATATACCTTGTATACACTTAAATGACCTACATTTGTTTTAAAAATTTAATAATTTTGAAAAATATTTTGTTTTTGCTGGATGTCAGCGTACTGGTGAGAAAGGACTCGACCCACCTCTTGCCTGAAGATTCCTATTTAAAAAGTCTTCTCCTGACTTTTTTAAGAAATTTAATAATTTTGAAAAATATTTTGTTTTTGCTGGATGTCAGCGTACTGGTGAGAAAGGACTCGACCCACCTCTTGCCTGAAGATTCCTATTTAAAAAGTCTTCTCCTGACTTTTTTAAAAATTTAATAATTTTGAAAAATATTTTGTTTTTGCTGGATGTCAGCGTACTGGTGAGAAAGGACTCGACCCACCTCTTGCCTGAAGATTCCTATTTAAAAAGTCTTCTCCTGACTTTTTTTAAAATTTAATAATTTTGAAAAATATTTTGTTTTTGCTGGATGTCAGCGTACTGGTGAGAAAGGACTCGACCCATCTCTTGCCTGAAGATTCCTATTTAAAAAGTCTTCTCCTGAATCACAGGTAGACAGTCAAGTACCCCAGGATGTCACTGATCCTCACTCAAGTCACAGGACCATGTTACTAATAATAACAACAACAAAAACTCGCAAAAAAAATCAGCCTCAGATTTTCGTTATTCAGTTTTTTGCATGCACTTGTATTAAGCCTGGACTCACTTGTATTTAGCCTTGGCTCACTTGTATTTAGCCTCGGCTCACTTGTATTTAGCCTCGGCTCACTTGTATTTAGCCTCGGCTCATTTGTATTTAGCCTCGGCTCACTTGTATTAAGCCTCGATTCACTTGTATTTAGTATTAGCTCACTTGTATTTAGCCTTAGCTCACTTGTATTTAGCCTTAGCTCACTTGTATTTAGCCTTAGCTCACTTTTATTTAGCCTTAGCTCACTTGTATTTAGCCTTGGCTCACTTGTATTTAACCTTAGCTCACTTGTATTTAGCCTCGGCTGAGTCGGCTCGCTTGTATTTAGCCTCGGCTCGCTTGTATTTAGCCTTGGTTCACTTGTATTTAGCCTTGGCTCACTTGTATTTTGCCTCGGCTCACTTGTATTTAGCCTTGGTTCACTTGTATTTAGCCTCGGCTCACTTGTATTTAGCCTCGGCTCACTTGTATTTAGCCTTGGCTCACTTGTATTTAGCCTTGGCCTTGCAGTTCCTCATCTCCAACACTCTCCAGTCAGGTGACACAGGCAGACAGCCCTAGCAGTGTCAGTTGTCGCGCAGACCTCCACAACACCTACAGGTAAGACAGTTCACTCCGTTAGTACCCTCACTTGTCAGTCGGAGTATTTATCATTTTACAACACGAATGGAAATGAATAGTTTGTTGTCGATACGCATCACCATATTATTATGCAGGTTTGTCGTTCAGAATTACGCCCAAACAGTGTGCTTTATGTGGTAAAATGTTAAGACAGGTATTGGTCGTTTTGCATATAATGTATATAATGTGCGTTAGGTTTAGACAAAATTATTGTTTAAGTATTAATTCCACGGTATAGCATATATTTAATATCAAACATGTTCCGAGTTCCGTGTAGTCGGTCATAAGGTTGTTAACAATCGGGTGTAGTGGTAGCAAGCTGTGTATTTCATCCGGATACTGATATTTTAGTGTGACTCAGTTATTTTGTATATGTCAAAACGTTTATATCACACAAGGTATCTTTTATTATTTTATTATCTTTAAATGTAAGGATTCTGTGATGAACCATACATTGATTGCATGCATTACTTGTTTATAAACAGAATCCAGACTGCTTTAAATAATTGTTTATAAGAGTTATTTGATGGAACTAGCCTGGCAGAAAACGTTAATTTCTATAGCTAATATATAATGTATTTACATCCCACATATCTATGCTAATAGCACAACTAAGCCAAATCTGACAGCAGTAGTAATATTCATGTAATCATTTAGTTAATCTGTTAGCGATGTTCAGTCTTGTTCGGTCATACCCCAGTTGTCAGATAACGATGTTTTTCTCTCGTTATTTAAATTATTTTCTCGTTATTTAAAACATTTTCTCGCTTACTGCATGTTTGTTTGGAAATGCTCGAAATCTCGAGCTTTTTCTCGTTACTTCGACTATATTCCCGTTATTTCAATTATTTTCTCGAAATGTCAAGGTTTTTTCAATTAACGTGAAATAAAATAATATTGGACGAGAAAAAACTCGAAACAGCGAGAAAATAATTGAACTAACGACTAAATAATTTGAAGTAACGAGAAAATAATGGAAGTAACGAGAAAAATTCGAAATTACGAGAAAATAATCGTAATAACAAGATATTAATTGAAATTTCGACTTTAAAAATAACCAAAATAATTGAAATAACGACAAATTTCGAAATAAAAAAATATATATGCTACCAAAGTGGCACCATTAGACTTCCGTAGCTTTGCGCACTATGCTGGACATAAGTATAAATTGAACAGAAAAGACGCATTGAATATTCAACTAGAAATACTCTCTTTATACTCGAATATTTACTTGTTTACAATACATTGAGTACGTAGTCTGTGAAAACGCAACGGTGACTGCAAAATATTCTATTTTTTTTATTGTGATGTTATTTGACGTTTTAGGGAAAAAATGTACAGTGCTGTGACTGGCGATAATACACACCGAATGATAGTAATCTTGGTAAAGTGACTCTCGACACAATAAACAAATATGACGAGTTAGTTCAGTGCACTGCTGGCTACAGAAATAGATAGCATTTTAAACACGGTACCTCATATATTGTCGTGACCGAGAATGTTGTTCGAGAAATAATACATACAAAGAGAAATAACTAATTTTTATTTTCATTGTGCTTCCGTGTCCACTGACACATATTCAGCTGATGGACTTCAAAGTTAAATCGCATGTGTGGACACGTATGTGCCTGTATTGCTAGTCACTAGAGCAATGCGGTCTGTCCTCATAAGTGACAGAGCATTAACTTTTCTGAGTGGAGCTTGGTTTTTGTTACAGTCAGCATGTTTAGGTCACCCCACCCAGGCAATTTATGACAATTTGTCTTTTAGCTCACCTGGCCAGAAAGTCGTTAGAATTCGGCTTCGGCATCGTCAAATAAAAGCCGTTTATATATTTTCGACTTCTTCTCCGAAATGGTTTGACGGATTCTACTAATGGATGTGTGTTACCTTAAGGGGTTCAAATTAGTTCGAGGCATCAAAACTGGAATTTCACTATGACCACAAGACAGACATTTTTGCCTGAAAAAAAAGGAATATACTTATGATATCTTCTCCAACAGATAAAAAAGGCTAGAAGCATGAGACCTGTCCGATGAGATGGCCATCATATGTAGTTCCAAGCTTGTTCGAGATATCTTGACTTGGTTGATGCATGTCATCGTATCCAAATTGCATGGATCGATGCTCATGAAGTCAATCACTGGATTGTCTTGTCCTGACTCGATTATTAACATTCCGTCGTCACCGTTGAACAAACTTGGAACTATATAATTATGGTGACCATTTCAGCCACCAGATTAATAATCTCAAGCGCTTAAAGTTATAGAATTAAGATCTTTTTGGTTCTTTTTTTAATCAAAGATAGCTACCTGGAGGCCAAGTTGAAATAGATCCAACTTTGGTGCCTTGTACAAACTTGAACTCCCCATAATAACAGTCACCCACACAAATTTTCATTTGAATCCATAGAGTAATATAGGTCAAAAAGTCGATAATGTAAATTTGTTCCAATAGAACTCAACTGGATACGTCGTCACCAGTTGCAATAGTCAACTCCTTGCAATGTGTGCTAAGTGTTTGTTTTTGCTGACGATTTAATCTGATGATTACATATCCTGGTGAGCTATAATCGAGTGGCAGTATTTTAATCCACACCTGCAGGATCGGTTGTTGAAATACGTCCCTGGTTTGATTATCATTAATCATTTACCTATTACTTCTTTTCAGATGCATTTACCAGGAATAACAGTCTTCATGCAAGCCCTGCTCCTCCCGGGGACACACCAGCCAGGCGACCCCCAGGAAACGCGAAAACCACCGTACTGGCCGTCCACCTTCTCTGTCCAGTTTGCAGAACTCCAAGCAGTCAATGACACAGTTTCCTCCCAGAACACAGGGGCGTGGTACTACGACTATATCCGCAAACAAGCAAGATTTGACCATCTTCAAGGCCAGAAGAACAATTTCTGTGATGGCCAGGGACTGAGCGATGACAACCCACAGGGCACTTGTCATCTCATCTTCTCTAGGGACCTGTCTCTGTATGTTCACTACCCAGAGGCAGGCACCTGCTGCCGGCTGTGTGGGGTGGAAGAGGGCTGTACTGTTCTCAGACCTGATTGGCTGAAGGGTTCTACCCCCATCGGTACCGAGGTGATATCTGGCTCTGTGTGCTACGGCTGGACCACTCCCGGGGCTGTTGCCAATGACACGTGGTTCGCTACTGAAGACAATGTGCCATGTCTGTATCATGAAGTTGTTGGCCGTTTGGATCATAATCTAACGTTTGACATGGATACTTACACAAAGGCTGAACCCGAAGATGCTATTTTCAAAGTCCCCGATCATTGCTACAAAGACTGTCCCAATCCTTACACACCCCCATTCTAAACTGTTGCAGGTCTTCATCCGCGCTCGCTATAGGGGGAATCCGGACCGGAAGAGGTCTTGTATTCTTGTGTTGTTAACTTCTGACTTGGCTTAGCTTAGAGCCGTGAAGCTCCGGGGTAGAATAGGTCTTCAGCAACCCATGCCTGCCGTAAGAGGTGACTATGCTTGTCGTAAAAGGCGACCAACGGGATCGGGTGGTCTTGCTCGCTGACTTGGTTGATGCATGTCATCGATCCCAATTGCGTGGATCGATGCTCATGATAGCTGGAATATTGCTGAGTGCGGCGTTAAACAATAAACCAACCAACCAACCAACCAATCTGACTTGGCTTAGTGCATATCACTGTACAAAAAAATCATGGGTCGGAGCTTCATGCAGTCACTCGTTTGTTTGTCCTAGTGTGGTTATGTACAATATCACAGGCTTGTGATTGTATCAGTGGATGTGCAGTAAAACCCCGCTCCCACGCAAGAAATCACTCACTCTTTCATATCAGTTCCTTTCACATAATGCCCCTTATGTTGGGACAATGGTGCAGCTGCCATGTGAAACAATATACAAATGGATACACACCTATACGTTGTCGTATACGTTGATAACAGAATGTTCTAGTTTTGTTCCGAATACAACTGTTTCAATATTATGGTGTATTCGTTAAGTCCGATGATGTCTTCATGTCTTGTTATTAATTCGGTAACTGTTCATTGTTCACTGTCTGACATATGAAATGACAGTTTATTTACCATTATTCACGTCTGAAAACTGACCGCCTCCGTGGTCTAGTGGATAGAACATCTTCCCTGGAGATTCGATCCTCAGCCGCGCCATACCAAAAGACGTTAAAATATGGTACTTCATGTTACCTGCCTGGCCATTACGGGGACAAAACAAAACGACTGCTCGGCTCGGAATATAATGTGTCGGAGTACCCATGTTAAACTGCGGCTTGGTATCTCAAGTACAGTCGGAAATGCAAGAAAAATGATTTCCCTTGCTTCATTTAATAAATACGAATTATTGTGCTCTGATAGCATATATCAAAGTAACGCAAATCTACCTGTTCTGGCGTATCCGAACTGACAATCTGATTAGTTAGACTTAAAAGGTTCTTTTACAGGTAAATTGATGATAAACTAAGAAAATATTCGTGTTTTGTCATGCATGTATAAACCGGCCTGTAGCATAAGGTAATTAATTACCTAACACTGACACAACGTGATGAACTCACACGGCCTCGTGCATTCTCACAGGTCCAAATGAGTTGGGGTGGTCTCACAATATTATATTTGCTAGAACCATAACCAATGAGACATACATCCAACGAGACCTACATCCGATGAGATCTACACTCAATGACACATACATCCAATGAGATCTACACTCAATGACACATACATCCAATGACATCTACACTCAATGACACATACATCCAATGAGATCTACACTCAATGACACATACATCCAATGACATCTACACTCAATGACACATACATCCAATGACATCTACACTCAGTGAGATTTATACTCAATGAGACCTACATCCATTGCGATCGACATCCAATGAGACCGACATCTAATGAGACCTTCATCAAATGAGACCTACACCCAATGAGACCTACACTTAAAGAGCCCCACTCCCCTTCGTGGGTTACACCAAAGACGTAATCGTCTGAGATTGCATCAGTTCGGGCCCACCATAAGCTGACAGGCCGCGATTTAACCGGAATATTGTCCAAAGCGGCATTATACCCATCTCACTCACTCACCTTCCAATAGCAGTTGAAGTGATAAAGTCACGTGACCCTCCCTCCACAAGCACGTGCAGCATGCACCGACGCTCTCCGCGAGCACGTGCAACATGTACTCAGACTCACACGTGACATTGCCATGCAGTCACACATGGAAAAAAGAAGACAGCGGTAAGTATTCGGACATTATGAAACAATCCATTGAATAATGCTAGCATTAAATATTCAAACATTCTTGTACATATTCAGGTACACATGTACTCGACCACCACACTGCCAAAACGAACCCTACAAAGACCAACCCATATGGTTTGACAAACAATGCTAGAATTTGAAGCGTTATTAATATACACTTTCTGACAGATTTAGAATAGTCAACGATCCCAACAATTGCAAGCAGAACCTCGATGCTAAAAGAGCAACTATGCAAACAGAAAAAGTTCTGTTTTGAGGAAGAAGTTGTAGATACAGTTGAAATTGCTGCACGTGGAAACAAATGGAGTAAAGATTTCTGGGACTCCACCAAAACATATTGTGTTTTTTTTCCAGTGTAAGTCCAAATAAAACGATAGATAATTGGTTTGCTTTAATTATCTTAAGCATCTCTTTAATCCACACAAATGCAAACTTCCCATTTGTGCGTGCGTGCGTGCGTGCGTGCGTGCGTGCGTATGCGCCTGTATAAGGTGCATAGGTGTGTAGCTGCGTGCGTGCGTACGTACGTGTGCCCGTATAGGGTGCATAGGTGTGTAGTTGCGTACGTACGTGCGTGCCTGTATAGGGTGCATAGGTGTGTAGTTGCGTGCGTACGTACGTACGTGTGCCCGTATAGGGTGCATAGGTGTGTAGTTGCGCACGTACGTACGTGTGTGCCCGTATAGGGTGCATAGGTGTGTAGTTGAGTGCGTGCGTGCGTGCGTGCGTGCGTGCGTGCGGATGACGAAATGGTATGAAGAACGGTAAATTTCATGGGGTTGATGGTATTCCTTCAGAGGCAATTAAAGAATCTTGTTCAATAAAACTTTATAATAAACGCCTTTTCCCGTTTTTCAATCAAGTTTCGTGAATCTTGGAATTGAGGTAATATTGTCCCAATACATAAATCAGGAGCTAAACGTGATCCCAATAATTTAGGGGTATTGGTTTGTTTGATATACTAAGGAAATACATACAACCGTGTTAGAAATAGCAGTAAATGTTGAGTTACAGTTTCTGCCCGTGTCACATGGCCGTCAGGTTTTAGAAAAGACTACAGTACCACAGATTAAAGCGTTCGCTCGTTACGCCGAAGACCCGGGTTCGATTCCAAACATGGGTACAATGTATGAAGCCCATTTCTGGTGTCCCCCGACGTGATATTGCTGGAATATTGCTAAAAGCGGCGTAAAACCATACTCACTCGCTCATAATTCACAAGTGTATCAGGGAGCAAAAAAAGGTCAATTTTACTGCATCTTCGGCGATTTTCCACACGGTAGATAGAAATAAAGCTATTTGTAAAGCATATTGTAATTAGAAAACATTCTTACCGTGGACCTATTTCAAGGCATAACACACAAGAGACAGGTTCGAATCAGTTGTAAAATCACTTTAATTTTTAAACAAATATTTGTATCTTCAGACATGCAGTCTCTGGCAAAATCGAAGCGGATACCAAATTAGTAAATTTACGAACAAGGAAAAACATTTCTACAAGGTTTAGATCTGGATAGTTTCTTAAATACAATTATATACCGAGCGCAAAAGAAACGTCACCTCAAGTAACATTGCATGAAAAGTTAATCTGAAAAGAAAAATATCTGGGTAATTTTTGTGAAAGACTTTAAAATTTAACATTAGCTTCTCCGGCAAAATTAAATTTGATGATAAAAAACAAAGCAAATCCATTTTTCGGGTGCTTTTTGAGAGAGACTCATGGGGTGGTCCGAGCACCATGGTGTGGGGTGGAATTGATCTTACACAAAGGGTTGGCCCTGTGGTCTTCCAGAACATCGGTCCAGGGAGAGGCAATGGTGTCACAGCAGCTCGGTACATTGATCAAGTCTTGAGACCACACGCTATACCTCATTTGGCACGTCGCCGCAACCATGAGTTTCAGCATGATAACGCACGTTCCCACACTGCGAGAGCAACAAGATACTTCCTCCAGCAGAATGGCATCAGAACCATTAGTGGCCTGCCCTCAGTCCCGATTAAAATCCCATTGAGCACCTGTGGGGCGAGATTCAAAGTCGGCTGAATGACGTCCGACCAAGGCCGACAAGTGCAGTTGAACTGTGCCATTTTCTCAGAGACTACTGTTTCACTTTAAGAACATTTGACACTTTAATTTCAACCTTGATGATCAGTTTTGCCAAGTTTCATCTATTCAATATCTCTCAAAGTATGTTTACAGTGTTTGGACAAATAAGGTTTCTCATATATCTATCCATGGTGACGTTTCGTTTGCGGTTCAGCATATAAAAAACCTGACACCTGAAAAAAAATCATTCCGTGGTTTTGTATTTTTATGTTGTAAGACTAGTCCACTTCGGAATAAAGGGAACGGGTCGGTGATTAGCTGTCCACTGGATCGTACCTGTGTTTCTTAGACTTTAGTAAATATATCATGCAGTTGTTTGGGGAGTTTACCAAGAGTGGAGGACAAGACTCCCTTAAATTATCATTTGGAGACTGATTCGTACCATGCCACGCTGTAACCGAATGTTTGACCCTTTCCGGGGGCAAGGCCCATAATTGATCAAGACATCTCAAACGTTCATTGGCGGCGCGAGTGGCCCAGTCGTCTAAGGCCCTGTTTGGTAGATATCTACCTGTATAAAGCAAACTTGTCCATGTATAACCCAAGCTATGAACTTCATGTTATGACGTCCTACCGAGAACTGTACTCGGACCAACATGCGGACGTCTCTAACGCAAACGCGCACTGCACGTTGTCAGTATTGTATAATTCGTGAAAGCTTTTTTTATGAACACTGTCAATTAATTTCAATCAGGAAATAAAATAAAAACAGGTCTGTTCAGAAAGGGATGTAACCCTTAACTCTCCCGTGAAGATCCGGGTTAGAATAGGTATTCAGCAGACCATGCTTGCCGTAAGAGGCGACTGTTATACACGGGATTGTGACTTGGTTGATGCATGTCATCGTATCTCAAATTTGCGCAGGTCGATTCTGGTGATGAATGAATGAATGATCTTTATTTCCTCCATTAATTTCGGAGAGTGATATACATTTGTAATGACGTTAGGACAACATATACTAACCAACAAAAGTTCCTGTGGCATTGAATAAGATTTAATGCAAAATTGTGTTTTTTTTACCAAATCTGAAACAATTTCGGCTTGCAACAGATAAGACTCCTGTAAGTATTCAAATGGTTTAATTTGCCATACT